AATTGCACTTCCCTTTTGATAGATGGGTGCAAAGTCTGGTATTGAATTACAAAAGCCTTATCAAGTGCAGGGAGGACAGGGGAGTAGTACAAATGCTACAAGTAGCATGGAGATCCTCTGCAATGAAAGCAGCCTATTTAGCCAACTGCACCAGAGTGAAGTGTTGTTATGCTGGCCTGCTCCAGCAGGTACTCTGTTTACCAGCAATGAGGCATGTAACAAGTAAAGCTATACACAAATCTTTCCAGAGGATTTGGGAAAGAATCCACTGTTGGACACTGGCACAGAACAGCACTGTAAACCACAGTTAGCACAGGCATGGGTTTTTGGGGAGGCAATTTTTTTGCTGCACACCAGCCTAGCCACGGAGTACATGACATTAGGAGCAAAATTCCCTTACATGCCTTACACTTTCGTGTCACCATTATCTCATATGTTGTAATGTAAACAATTGAACTGCAAGTTATCCATCTACCCCGACAAAAGTCACATGTTCCTGTTGCATGTGCAGTTTAAAAGCAATCTGAATAGTCATATCAGGAGTAATGTGAGCCTCTTATGTAAACAACGATTAGGTGTATGTTTGTTTTTTAGACACACGGCAGTTGGGCTGTCCGACTGGAGAACACAGATCAAAGATCCATTCCATTAACTGCTTTTGCTTAAAATAAATACCATTTCCAGCAGTAAAGGGATAACGCATGCCCACCCCAACTTATCAGTCTCCAAAAACTCTGTAGAACCAGAAACCACAATGCCAGCTTCAAACTCTGTGTTTATCTTTTACTACTTCTACAGAACTCTCCACCAACAATTGTAAGAATGAATACTGAGAAGGAAAGCTACGTGATCACTAAGCTGTCAACATTAAAAAATACATAGGGCTTTATTTTACTTATTTCATTTAGGGTCTGGTCTCAGAGCATGATGGCCAGTACTAGCCAACCGAGCCTCTGCGCTATCAAGTAGCATAAGGAGCCCTCATGGTACAATGGGTTAAACCCTTGTGCTGGCAGGACTGCTGACCGAAAGGTGGCGGTTTGAATCTGGGGAGTGGGGTGAGCTCCTGTCTGTCAGCTCCAGCTTCTCATGAGATACCTTCCACAGGATGGTAAAACATCTGGGCATCTCCTGGGCAATGTCCTTGTAGACAGTCAATTCTCTCACACCAGAAGCAACTTGCAGTTTCTCAAGATATGTCTCTTTAAATCACCTGTCGGCATATGGAAATCCCAATAATGTCATAGGGTTTTCTTAGGCAAATAATACTCAGAGGTGATTTTGCCACTTCATTCTTCTGAAATACACCCTACAGCACATATATGCTTTCCCCCAAAATACTTCCTTACGTTAATAGAACTGAGAGTCTGACAGGTTCTTTTATCAAGGAGGACTTTGCGCTTTCTGACGGCTTGTGTTAAGATCCGCCCAGAGAGAGGTTGAACAGTTCAAACCACATGGTCATTTAACATCTTGATTCCGGAGTCCCAAGTTGTCTGGCTTTAGGACTTGCCTTCAGGCATTTACACTTCCAGCACCAAGCACTGCAATGGCAGTGCTTTGTAAACTAACAATACGAAGTTGAAGGACCTGTTTCTCCTGCTAGTTGTGCATTAGGAGAGACATGTCTTCCCTCAATGGTTTGACAGTCATTGGAATCATAAAGCGGAGGTCATCATTATAGCCCTGATGTTGCTACAACTTGCATGTTCTAGGTATAAAACAATATAGTGATTCTAGCTTTCATAATGGATACCTTTAGTTGACTATTTATTTTCTGAATGAACCTTAGACAGAAAAAAAATCCATGAACCACCAAAACCAAATCTCCCACTAAGACAGCAATCTTATGCAAACTTTCCCTGAAGTAATTCTCTTGAAAAGTGGTGGAATTTACTTCTATGTAAACATTCTGATCATTGGGACACAACAAGCCAACATTTCATTTGTTTTGCAGGGTAGCATCCGTTGTAATAGTTTGGATCTATCTTTGTTCCCCTTCCTTTAATGATTTAGGCAACCCCCTTCCCTCAGTTTAAGTTATAATTTTTGACACTTGATAAAAGTGGGAGCAACAGAAAACACCAAGCTTAAGCCATTCATTCACCTCCCGCAACTCATATACACAAAAGGCCCTGTGTCTGTCTGTCTGTTTTGAAGACACCCAGCTAAATAATTCATAACATCTGGGGGCTGCTGGCCGAAATGTTTGCCAGGCATCCTGCCACAAGCATCAAAAAGCACATCCTTGTTCCAAGACACATCAAACCATCTAGCTCACAAGAGAAGCCCACATGTGATTTTTTTTTGGTCAAAGTGAAGAAAGTCGACTTAAAGTTAAGTTTAAACATGACACTTCAGGAGACGAGTTTATCCTTGTCTGCTGTAGAATGGGATCTAAAGGGCTGCACAACAGAGAACCTCTCAGACAGAACTTGGCAGAGCACCTTGAAATTTAAGCAGGGCAGTGGGAACAGAAGCATGACCCTAGCAGTCCCTCCTTTGTTTAAACTGTAGTTCAGCCTTCTTTTGTCAGGCTGAATTTCAGTAAGTCCACCAGGGAAGAGAAGCAGCAGCAAATTATTATCATGCAAACACCTTGCAATAACACAGCACAGTAACAATTTTTTCTTGGTAGTTTGGTTTTTAGGCCTGTTTCTGGGATTATTTGGGGCACTGATGCAGAAAATTGCATCTCTAGTTTCCTAGATATGGTTATCAAGGTTTTCTATGGGGGAGCAGCTGGCAACTAGTATAATAATAATATAATAATCTTTTATTTATAAGGCATATGCTGTGTTATCTTAAAAATTAGAAAGGGGGAAACTGGTGTCATTTTTGGCATCAGTAGGTCAAATACAACCAGAAACAAGGCTAATATTTGCGGCATCAACAAAATGTATTTTGGCCAGTGAATGGAGCTGCGAATCCAGTTCACCACTTGCAAGAGAAAAGTGCTACATAAAAGAAAGGAGAATCTCATAAAGCTGTGAGCAGTATGAAGGAAAGAGGAGAGACCACACAGATGCTACCTTTGGATAAGCCTTTATCGAAAGGCATTTTGGTTGGTTTGAGGAATGCATTGGCAGCGCTGCCACCCCTCCAAGAAATATTAACTTTCCAAGCAGATGACAGGGCTGTGGAGGTACAGAGAGAGGTTCAATGGAGCAAAAACCCTCACTCTGCCTGTAACCACTGCAGTCATTTTTCTTCCACCTGGGACAAAGCTCCCCTTCCAAGATGCCTCCTTTTTGAGACCACATCCAGCAGAATACACTCACTCAGTCCTTAGAGCAGGCATGGGCCAACTTGGGCCCTCCCTCCAGGTGTTTTGGACTTCAACTCCCACCATTCCTAACAGCCTCAGGCCCCTTCCTTTCCCCCCTCAGCCGCTTGAGTCCAAAACACCTGGGCGGAGGGCCCAAGTTGGCCCATGCCTGCCTTAGAAACACATCTATTACCAAACCTCCCTCCAAGCTGCAAGCAGGCCAGGCAGCAGCCCCACTGGGGCAGGAGGTTCCCACGCCTTCCTTAGCAAAGGGAGACTTGAAGGCTGCTCCTTTGTTCAGAGGCTCCCGGGAAATGAAAGCCACGCTCTTCCTCCTTCGCAAATGCGGGTTTTTTCCTCTCTTTTAACTTCCCTTTGACTTGTGCAACGCGCCCAGGCACACGCGCGCGCGCCCGACTGCAGCACTCCGCTTCCCAGCAAGAACGTCCATCCACCGGGTTTTAAAGGGATACACCCGATATTTTCCCCGAGACAATGGAACAGCCTCGCTCTCTCCGAAGAGGAGGGGGCCCCCGCCAAGCCCCACACCGGAGGGACGAAATACCTGTGCAGCTCAGAGACAACCATCCCCGCCGCCTTCGCCGAGACCCAGGCTTCCCAACCCTGTCTCTCCCAGGATCCCCGCCCTTTTCCTTCTCTTTGACGCCTGTGTGTGTGTGTGTGTGTGTGTGGATCATACACAAAAAAAAGGGCCAACGGGTTGTAGATACACTCGCCCTGGGAGGAAGGATGGGAGGAAGATGGAGAGAAAACATGGAAGGGAGGGAGGGAGGGAGGGAGGAAGAAAGAAAGAAAGAAGGACAGAAGGAAGGAAAGCAGCAAGGGAGGGACGAGGAAGAAAGAAAAAGAAGGATTGAGGAAAAGAGAGGAAGGAAGGATAGAAAGGGGGAAAGATGGAAGGAAGTGGAGAAGGAAGGAGAGAAGGAAAAGGAAAGAAAGGGGGGAAGGAAGGAAGGGGAGAAGGAAGGAAGGTAAGAAGGAAAGAAAGGGGGAAGGGAAGGAAGGGGAGATGGAAGGAAAGGGGGAAGGAAGGAAGGAAGGAAGGGAAAAAGGAAAGAAAGGGGGGAAGGAAGGAAAGGGAGGAGGAAGGAAGGAAGGTAAGATGGAAAGAAAGGGGGAAGGAAGGGGGGATTGAAGGAAAGGGAGAGCGAAGGAAGGAAAGGAAAGAGAAGGGGGAAAGGAGAAAGGAACGGGAGAAGGAAGGAAAGGGATAGAAAGAGGAAAGAAAGGAAGGAGAAAGGAAAGGAGAAGGATAGAAAAGGGAGAAGGAAAGAAGAAGTGAAAGAAGGAAAGCAAGAGGCAAGGGAAGAAAGGCATGGCAGGACTAATCTAAGCGAACAAACCGCAGCGCTTGGCTTCGTCTAAGCATCCGATTCCAGATCTGCGGCGGTGCGCTTGGCGAGGATACACACAGAGAGAGGGGTGTGTGTGTGTGTGGCTCTTTTTCTATCCTTTCTTTCTTCCCGAAACAACCCCTGCAGATCTTCCTCGGCAGCCTTTGGAAGTGTCCACAGAAGGGCCTCTTCCCACCGCCTGGTTCTCCTCCCGCAAGGAGGGCTGCGATGGAGGAGCAAGAGGGGGGGGCAAGCCCCCTCCCTGGCCCCTTCCTTCCTTCCTTCCCCGCCATTTCCGCGCCGCACACACGCCCCTCTCTTGGCACCTGGGCCCCGCCTCGCCCTGGCCTGGAAAGGGACCTCTCCCCAGCGGCTACCTTCCTCTGCGCCCGCAACGGCCGCGGCCCTGGGCTGCCATGGCGACGCGGCTGCCTCCGCCCCATCCGCGGCGCCCTCCGCTCCGCTCCCCTGCCTCCTTCCGACTGAGCCGACCTTCCACCCCGCCCTCTCAGCCCCGTTTTTATACCGCCGTGACGTCGCCGCCCCGGAAGGCCAATGGGACGGCGCCACGTCACCCAGTTCGCTCGGGTCTCCTCCATTCAAACTCCGAACGCCTCGCGCTGGGGTTCTTCCCGGCTCAGGGCGCACCTTCGCCGTGGAATGAGTACGTTCCAGGGCTCAGTGGGAGCTGCCCTATGAGGAGGCTTCTAGCTCTCTCTGCCCAAGAGTGCCGGTGCCTCACCAAAATGTTCCAACGCTGTAGCATGGAGCCCAGGTAGTCAAAATGGTATCAAACTGCGTTAATTCTACAGTGTAGATGCAGCCTCTGTTGGGACAGGGAACTTGGGGCACTTGACACTATAGACTCAGAGAATTTTAGAGTTGGAAGAGACCTCGTAGGCCAGTGGTTCTCAACCTTCCTAATGCTGTGATTCCTTAATGCAATTCCTCGTGTTGTGATGACCCCCCAACCACAACATTATTTTTGTTGTGACTTCGTAACTGTAATTTTGCTAATGTTATGAATCATAATGTAAGTATCTGATATGTAGGATGTATTTTCATTCACTGGACCAAATTTGGCACAAATACCCCATGTGCCTAAATCTGAATCCTGGTGGTGGTGTGGGGGGGGTTGATTTTGTCATTTGGGAGTTGTAGTTGCTGGGATTTATGGTTCATTCAAATTAAAAGAGCATTCTGAACTCCACCAACGATGGAAGTGAACCAGATTTGGTAAACATAACTCTCATGACCAACAAAAAATACTGGAAGGGTTTGGTGGGCATTGACCTTGAGTTTGGGAGCTGTAGTTCACCTACATCCAGAGAGCACTGTGGACTCAAACAATGATGTATCTGGATCAAACTTGGCACAAATACTCAATATGCCCAAATGTGAACACTGGTGGAGTTTGGGGAAAATAGACCTTGACATTTAGGAGTTGTAGTTGCTGGGATGTACAGTTCACCTACAATTGAAACACCTTCTGAACCCCACCAATGATAGAATTGGGCCATACTTCCCACACAGAAACCCCATGACCAACAGAAAATACTGAGTTTTCTGATGGGCTTTGGCAACCCCTCTGACACCCCTTTGCGACCCCTCCAGGAGTTCCGACCCCCAGGTTGAGAAACACTGTCGTAGGCCATCCAGTCCAACCCCCTGCCAAGAAGCAGGAAAATCGCATTCAAAGAACCCCCAACAGATGGCCATCCGGCCTGTTTAAAAGTCTCCAAACAAGGAGCCTCCACCACATAGAATGGACGCAGTTTCACACGACTTTCACTGTCATGGCTCAATGGTATGGAATCCTGGGAGTTGTAGTTTTGTGAGTCACCAGCACTCATGGGAAGAGAAGGCTAGAAACCTTGTCAGGCTCCAAATCCCAGGATACAGTAGCATTGAGCCACAGGAGTGCCCAACCTGCATTCATTCTACAATGTCCCTGTTATGGGGAAACACATTCAAGTCCTCTGTGCTGGCACTTCCTAACCATCCAGAATTTTTATGACCCATTGTATGACTCAAGGCTTGTCTACACAAACAAAAACCCACATCTATTTGGCATTGCATTTTCCTAGCCTACATTGAACCTGCATTAACACTCACCTTGCACATAGTAGTGAGGAGATTGTCATAACCAGCCACCCATTTCCTCCTAATGAACTTGCCTTGGGATTAGATGCCAGTCAACAATCTTGGGTCCTTTGCATTATTTTTGCATTATTTTTCTCCAGTCACTCATGCAAATGTACATATTTTTTGTTATGCACAAATGTTGTATTTCTTCAATTCAAAGACACACTTTTTCCCCATATAAACATCTCTAAAAACAGAACCATAGGTATATCTTATGTATTTGTGTTGGGTGGTGGTGGTACTGAAATTAGGATGTGTTTGTGTCTTACGATTGATGGTGTCTTACAATTGAGGAAATACAGGCATACATACACAGATATGGAAGTATCCACACATACAAACATTAAATTCAGTCTGGGAATGAACCACTTCCTAGTGAGAAAGCTCACCAGTCCCATACGCCATTCGCTCCTTCATTTCTACAACAATGTAATGCTGCCTGGGGGGCAAGAAATTCTGGATTTTCTATAAAAATGGGAGAGGAAAGGTTATTTGAACCAGATTGAAGCCCAAAGAACCAGATTGCAAGCGGATTGCCAAGAAAAGCATGTATGAGGATCACAGAGCCTATGAAGTAGATACAATATTTTTCTATGATGTAGACAAGCCTTAGGAATGATGGTAGTTTTAGTATATTGCCAAACAGATTCTGTCTAGGAAATGAGGGAAGCACTGATTGTTGGAGGAAGGGGAGATTTCGTATCTCTGGACTCCTGCTGTCCTGCCTCAGATATACTGCAACCATTTTGATTTGTGAAGGACCATCCCAATTAGCCCTTTGTGCTCCCACTTGTTCCAGTTTGTCTTCTCTCTTCCCTGCTTTGTTGCTGGCTTACTTCCATTGGTGAAAATTGAATTAAATGTGCAAAAGTATTTTGTATTCAATCTACTCAATGGACAGCTCTTGCCTTTCCCAGTTGCCTCAGGCAAAAACAAAAGCCCTAGGCAGGAAGCAGCCAGGCTTTGAAGCTGAAAAGCCATTAAATTCTAATCAAGGTGGCTAATTGCAACATTCACACTTGCCTCCAACAGACAAGAGTTCTTTATCTCACCCTGGACATTGCACAGATATATAAACCTCACTTGCCTAGTTTCCAACAGACCTCACAACCTCTGAAGATGCCTGGCATAGATGTGGGTGAAACGTCAGGAGAGAATGCTTCTGGAACATGGCCATACAGCCCGAAAAACTCACAGCAACCTTCATTGATATTGTTTGGCCACACTCACCCTGATTTTCATCTGTGAAATGTTAGAAAATATGTTCAGGTTGCAACATGATCCTTCTGTATTCCTATTTAAGGAAGCATAACATTGAAATCTGTTGTGATGTAATAAAAAAGACTCAGTGAATTTAGTGGACTGTCTAAGGACTTCATCACACTAGAGAATGAATCCACTTAAAATCTGGTTTCTCCCTTCAGCAGAATTCCGGGGTTTGTAGTTCAGGGAAGAGCCTTTAACAGCCTCACTAAACTACAAACCCCAGAATTCTGCAGAAGGCAGAAATCAGATTTAAAGCGGATTCATTCTCTAGTGTGATGAAGTAATGTAGTACGTAGTGTGATGTAACACACTTGTAAAGGGCTGGCCTTGGGGACTCTTGCTGTATTTGAATTATATTGCTTACCATTACGACTCTCTCTGGGTGCATCTATATTGTCGAACTGCTGCAGTTGGACACGACTCAATGTCATGACTCAATACTGTGGAATCCTGGGATTTATAGTTTGGTGAGGCACAGAATTCTTTGGCTGAGAAGGTTAAAGACTTAAACTTCCATGAATCCACAATCTCTCTCTTTCATACAGCACACACACACATGTACCCCAGCAGGTTGAGAAGACTGATATTTTTTCCTTACACAAAGATTTTTGAACAAAACACAAGGACTTTGCATTATAAACAAACATAAGATCCTTTTCTTTCTCCCTCTTCATTATAAATATTTACATCCTACCATTCTATAAAGCATACGTAACACAGCTAATGTCAACTATGGATACCAACAAATAGATTGAACCCCAACAAAATAGCAACATCCAGCAGTTCGGGCTAAAACAAAAGGCAAATGAAGCATTAATACAAGGAGTAAGGGAGTGCCTGCAGTAGTTCAAATAGCTACACCATGTTGGATATTTTGAAAAATATGCTGGAGTCACAGGCCTAGCTTGTGTATCAGGTGCTATTTCTGTTGTTCATTTGGTCTGGAAGATCTCAATGCAGGCAGAAACCATTCTCCTTCTTGGAGGAACATGTGAGGATCGCACAATAAAGGATGGTAACATTTAAACTGCTGCTAACATCTTTTGCCTGATGAAAAAGTCAGTGGAGCTTGAAAAGCTTGCATGAAGCGTTTTGTGCATTTTGGCTGGTAATGCTGTTTTGTGAATTTTGCTCCACTTTACAGAGTGCCAGCCTCATTCTTTCGACTTCTTTCTCACTCTGTGTGAAAATCCTTTCCCTTTTACACAGTGTTCTCATAAGGTCCTGCTTGGCACAGTGCTATTCTGCTTTTCAGAACATATTACATACTTAAAGAAGAAAAATCTGCTTTTAGCATTAGTAACTGGACAGGAAGAAAATCAATGCAATTGAAATATGGTGTTAAAAAGTTCCATGGATACTATGTACTACAAAAGCCCCCAAATAGAGGTCTACTTTCTCTCTAGAAACCAAGATGCCAAAACTGAGGCTGACATGCTTAAGAAATGACATGGGTCAATGAAAAAGGAGATAATGCTTGGTAAATAAAAGGCAATAAGAAAAGTGAAAGGTCATATTCCTCGTGGTTAGTCTCAGTCAAGGAAGCCACAAACCCCATCTATATAGGGTCATATGATGCAGTTTAACTGCATTGAACTACATTATACGAGAGTCTACACTGACCGTATAATGCAAGTTCAAACTACATTAAATGACAGTGTAGATAGGGCCACAAACAAGAGACTATAAGACATGAGCTGGGCTGTTAATAACATGTATTGAATGTAGCTTTTTATAAGTCAACTTGACAGCACATATTAGCAAAACAAAATCTTTTTCATTTGCTCAGAATTTTAACTGGATATTCAAGCAAAAACAAAATAAAGGTCATTAGAACAAATAAGTGTAGGGCAGTGGTTCCCAACCTTTGATCTTCCAGTTGTTTTGGACATCCACTCTCACAAATCCCAGCCAGCTTACCAGCTGTTAGGAATTGTAGGAGCTGAAGTCCAAACACCTGGAGGACCAAAGATTGGGAACCACTGGTCTAGGGGAAGGGGTACTTTCATTTATTTCTTTCACCATTGGAAACTATACTCCCATTGGGTTGTTGTGAGTTTTCCGGGCCGTATGGCCATGAT